TGCCCTCTAGACTGGAGCATGGGATTCCATGTAGACAAGGACATGGTAGACCTCATGTCTATTTTTGGTCGTACATTGTCTATTCTCGACCAATACCACCTGAAATCGTCGTCATTAGCTGGCGCGACGTCGCACGCACGCCCACTGGCGCGGCGAATCACGATTCTCTTGCCACTTACCCGTCTCATCTGTGCAGCCGTTTTCACCGGAGCGATGTCGGCATGGTGCTAGCCCACTCGAGCTCTATGCTTGGGACAATGTATACACTGACCGCTATGTATCCTTGTTATTGCCATGTGTGAGGTGGATTTATGATTTATGATTTATTATCGGCAAACTAGTTACAATGGTCGAGGTAAATAACAGTGTATACGAGAAAAAACTCCGCTAAGGTGAAAAAAAGGTGGATGGGATGCAGATGCAGTGATGGCCACTTTCTCCTCTCAAAAGTGCACGGTAGCAGGGTCGGAGGACAGTGACAGGTGTGCTGACTTCGCTCGCGCCGCCGCACTGCCAGCCAATTGCCCTACCATAGCCAAACGCACTACTTGTTTGTGCCCTCTAACTCCCGGTTGCTGTCTACCACTGACTGCGTGTTCGCTGCGGACCTTGGGTCTAGACGCAAGTGCTACACATTAAGGGTGGCAAGGACGGAGTCGGGAGATCGCACCAAGATATCACTATAGTTCTTCTGAATCGAACAGGAACCATCTCTTTGATTTGTAGCCGTTTTGCTTCGTTTTCCTTCGTTCCCTCACCAATCAGCTTTTCTCTCCCTCATTAGACCGGCAACTAAATTACCGTGAATTATACCTCTGAAGCTTTTCACTTAGCTGCACGTTTACTGCTGCTATCTTCTTTACTCTTTAGCTTTTGACGGAGTACCAAGCGAACATTGGTGAAGGTGGTGATGACGAACGTCGACGAGTGGATTTGTTAGTTGCAAAATTATCAAAGGCTGACCGAGAGAAGGAATAATCATTCGCAGTGTGTCATGACATTCTATATTTGAAATCGTGATTGATCTTATTGTTATTGTTATACAGCCAGCTCTGTAATCACTTCATTGTTCGGCGTTTTGTGCCTCGAAAGGACCTTTCTTGTGCAAGACTTAGCCACGTCATATCTATCACGACGAAGCAAATTATGTTGTCCAGGTGAGGGGCACAGCGCTGAGGATAGGTTCGGTCATGATAAAGCCTCTTGTCCACATAGGAGGGTGCTGTGAGCGAATTCATGTTCGGGCGTTGACTAAGACAGGATACAACACACTATACCGTCCCGATGAGAGGGTGCGTGCAATTCGGCGACAGTTGGGTTAGCTCCGCTTGAGACCTCATAATGTATATTGCGCCATTTTTTCCCTGAGAGTTGACCTATTAAACTGATTTGGTGAGAACGAACCACGCTGAGCTCTGTACATTTGTTCTGGTTGTTGCAATATGCAATATGTAGTCTTCGTATTCGCTATTCAAGGCTGGGCTACATTCAGCTTTCCTATGATGTCCGCTTTGAAAACGGAAGTCTTGGGGTAGCCTAGTTAGTACGTGATCAATTTAATAGTGTAATAAGTAATAATCGCTATTTTGTCTCACATCTAGGTGATTTGCTCATCTGTCGGGTGGCATCTAACTGTGCGCATTTTGAGATGATCAAAAATGTGAAAGACCCATTTCATGACTGGTAGTCGGTCCGAGTATGGTTAATAGGTGTTAGTTGACCGTTCAGAGGAGGGAATTTAGACAGCTTCACTCGCATGTGACCCACACAAATATGAGGGCATCGCCGTTCAAGCCTGAATCAGGGCACATCGCCGGGGTCAAAGTTTTTGCAAGATACGTCTGAATTTTGTCCTTCTCTGTGACCTCCTTCAGACCAATATAGCATGTGCTACTATGCGCCGAGGATTATTGAGAGCCTACTTGGCTAAAATCATTCCTGTTTCACGTCGATAAAGCGTCATACCGGAAATAGCTACAGAATATGGGGAGGGGTACCCGAGGTGAGATGCAACCCCTCTTCTAAAGCGATCCCAGTTGTGATTTGCATTACGGTACGGTCCTGCTCTGGATGAAGTCTCCGAGTGGACTGAGTTCTGGGTCTCATAACAGCTTTGATACCATACGCTCACATTTGAGCCGCGCAAGTAGTAAAACCTCCAACACACATGGCTTAGGAATTTTTCTTAGGCAGTCGTGAAATGTTTCTTCAACTTTGTTACTGTTACAGAATTCTCCCTTACAGAAGCAGACAAAGTAGACAGAGAATCGTGGGACTATGTGTGCCGAAATGGCCATGTTAGCCCTAAATACTTATGATTTGTGTGCATTGTTTTTTCTTGTGTAAAAGTGCGTTTTTTGCTGTTTTCTGTGTTGTTACTGTATTGATAAAAGAGATTATTCTTCTTTGTGAAGAGTTTCAGAACAAGCGCGAGGAGTCGCTGCTTCATTCTTTTGCTACGATATTTTATTTAGTGACACTACCACTAATTCTGTTGGTCAGTGTTTTGAGTCCTAAGTCAACTAGAATGTCACGAAAAGTAAATTTCTCTACAAAAGACACTCTTGACCCTGTATTCCATTGCTGGCAGCTGCTATTTTCTGATTGATATTTCTCCATTGGCAGATATGGAACGGTCACAAATGGGGTCTAAACCACACGCATGGTTCGCAGGTCAAATCGCTTATCTGGCTACACATGGAGCCGCTCATGTTTAAAGGCAGTTGGCACGATGGTTTCCTACTTAGCCTAAAATGCTAGTAGGGCGCTGTATAGTGGGGAAATGGCGAAAGAACGGAGAAACGGTCAAAATCCGGCGAAGAAAAAGCCTCCGTTCTCAGTGACTTGTAAATCGATTTCGGACGAGTTTCCCGTACGCATCTTGCCAATCACCGCTACCGAAGATACGGCTGCATATGTGTACCCATGTATGCATGCAGCATCACGGCCGCTTCATACCAATCCCTTTGCTTCATAATTTGCTCAGCAAATGAATGAATACGAGCGTCAGAAACGGTCGTCCGTTTGTGGGCGGGCGGGCAAGGAAGGCGTTTGGGACGTGTTGTTGCTCAATAGGGCGTTATAGAGGTACCCTCCTTGGAAAAGGTTTCACGCAGCGCCTGTCCGAGGTCACGGAATTCTGTTAAGCCAGTTGTACAAATCCTACACCTGTATAGCGATTTATCGTGCCAACTGCCTTTGAATGTAGTCCAAGCACCCATCAAGGTCGAACCAAATGTAGAGGGTAGAAGCGTATCGGATACTGGATGAAGATCCGTGCGCGATTCATCCCTTTTCTATTTTTCTGTGACCGAGTGAGAGATCGCTCGTTTTCTGCGATGAAGAAATTGCTCTATTGATTTGCAAAGTAATTATACCCAGACTATCGTAGTCAAGTGGGCGTCCTGGGCGTCTCTGGATGGAGACTTTCAACTTAATGCGTGTATATAAGATACTTGTACGACTGCCTGAGGAGTCACTCACTTGAACTGAATTTGGCATGTTCTGATTTTGATAAATTCTATTTCAGGGCTCCGGTGGGAATTCAGCAATGGTAACGGATGGACAGCAAAGGTGACTGGATTTCCTTAGGTTCATAGAAACGGCTAACAAACTTTTTTTGAAAACCGTAGCCGCTTCATAGCAGAGAGGAAAGAATCGCGGCTAAGGGGAAACTATCTTGTCCTTCATGGATACTTGTTTGGGAACGGAGTCAGATTTGCATCCAAAGTACGGTTTTTGCTGCGGCTCTTGCATGTTATTCTTCCTAAATATGTGCTGGTACGGGGGTAATCGTAGAGGAAGTGTCGAGGAAGGCGTTTTTTTGATCACTTCTGGTTTACAAGCTTCTATAGTAAAGATTCTGGGTGGTCATCAATTCTTGCTTTGAACTTTCAAAATCGCCTGCTTTTCAATTGTTTATATCTTCGCAGAACATGGAAAAATCATGTCACTGTCTATCCGCTTCTGAAATGGCCGTAACAAGCAAAATCCTACGAACTCACTAGTTTAGTGTGGATCTTTTAACATAACGTCTCTTTGAAAGCAGGATCGTGGTACTGAAGGTTACTAGTAAAAGGAAAATTGTACGCTCAACGCCAAGCACGGTCCTCACCTTGTGCGAGGTGAATGGGCCCACAGCAGAGGTAGTGTGCCACCTTCATCGCTCGAAATTTCACGGGGACGTGTCTGGCAGTCATTGAAGACAAACTGTACCTTCACCTTTGAAGACAGTTCCAAGGTGGATCATTCCCATCTGGTGAGGTGAATTGATTCGCAGCTGAACTAGCGTGCCACTTTCTCCGCTCAAAAACGTACGGGAACGGGACTGGGGGCTGGTGACACCCGGCTGCCATTTTCCGAGCCCATCCGCTTCCCCCATTTCCCTTACTTTTTTGAGCGGGGGAATTTTATTGCAGCTGCAGACCCGTTTACAGAGCACTAGGCTACCGCTGCGGCTTTTTTCACTGGAGTCTTGCGTTTTTTACCAGAATGTAGGAAGCAGTCACGTGACTGTCGCAGCTTATAACTAGAATACCTTTGTCGCTTTGTTCTCAAAAGCGTATGAAAAGAGATGATTTCTTGACTGAAATGGATCCGGAACCAAAAAGTTTCCCTTTTCTAAGAACAGTTGGGTTACAGAGGATCTGATAGAGAATGCGGCGCGTGCGTCAGCTTGCATTTCTGTTTTCGCGTAAGATAGATTGGTCTCGGAATTCGAGCTGTGGCATTGTCGCAAGCTTGCATCGGTGCGTATTGTTGTGCCGAGGGCTTGCTCAGTATTTGTTCTTCTACTGTGTTATAAGGCAAACTGTCAAGGTAGTTGATTCGTGATGGCTAGCAGAGTCACTGTGAAACTACACCATTTTCATTAAGTGTTCGCCGCCATTTTTGAAGCGTCCGGAAAAATGTCGAAAATCTTTTGTTCCGATTGCTTGATGGACAGTTTGTTTCTACTTTCTCATTCGCTACCATTCATGATAGCGTCAGTCCCGTGTGAGATGAAGAATGAGTTGCTGACATCGTCCCCGCGCGACTCACACGTCATCGGCATACATCCCTCCTACGATATGGCAAAGTTAGAGTCACTTATGGATCTTGTTCCATCGATAGGTAATTAATTGCTTCAACTGAATAGGCGGAAAAAAACTGGCAATACCACCACCACCACTACCACCACCACCTCCTCCACCCGAGAAACTAATATTTTATCGGACGAAACTAACGTTAGGAGATATTTAGTGCCCCATCGCGAATATGACATTCACTCACGGTGCCGGTGTTAACATTGGACTCTGGTCGTCTGCTATCTGCTAAGGCTGAGCCTGATGCAAGGGATCACTCTCACTCCCAGGCTCAGCCTTAGCAGATCGCGACGTGGCGCTGGTGCAGAGAGGGAGATGTATATCGTGCTCGAGCCCCCTGTCGAGCCACCACTTCGCCGAACTGGCGTGTGCGCAGTGAAATAGGTGTACTCGTAGTCAGATTGCGGAATAAACTTGTGCGTCTCATAGTCAGGGCACTTGTCAACCGAGAAGCCTCTCCTCTCTTTCCTTTTTTCTTCCTCCCTCCTTCTTTTCCTTCCTTCCTTCTCTGATCCCTCCTCCTTTACCTTCTCCCTTCAACTACTGGACTGGTAGATGCCTCGTGAAAATAACCCTCGCAGCGAGAGCACGTCTGGTTGACAAGAGCCCCGTAACCCGGTCTGTGTGTCTAGTGTCGAGTTGGTGAAAAAGGTGATGAAGCAGTTTTTGCGCCGGGAGAACTGGACGGAAAATTGCGCCGGATACCTGATGACGTTAGCATGGAAATTTATATCGATTTTTTTATAGAAGATGGTCTCGCCAAATAACATCGAATCTCATTTTTTTCGTGAATTTCATTTCGAGCTGATCACCACCTTCGATGATGACCCTGCCCATAAGGTCCCATAGAGATGGCAGCAATACTGCTCGAAAATTTCGAAGAATGTTGCGGTCCAAGTGGAAGAATCAAAGCTCTACGGCTTCATCTGGGTCCACTCCCGCTGACTCAATTCCTGCTCACTTTTTTGAGTTGCTTGTTGACCTCTCCGCTCACATTCCGCGTTATAGAAGAGGTTTTGAAGTTAAGAAACGAGGTACAGGACAAAACTGTTCTCTCGTAACAAAGTTCCGTGGCACAACAAAGTAAAACATCAATCTCTGATTTCTTCGTTTTTACTATATATCCGCTTTTTTTTCGCCAAACGCCTACGAACCGGTGCTTGCAGAATTACGGGTCGAGAAGTTCATTTGTGGTAGGGGTACGCAGGAGCAAGTGAATTTTGACTTCGCTGGTCTTCGCGACACGAAACAATGGATTTACAACATTATTAGCAAGCAGCATTTTCGTTTAGACCGAGTAAGGCTTTATTAACTTGGCTCATCATTACATCAAATCAATACATAAATTTCAGGTTGAAGGGCGTACAGTTCTCACCGATCTCTCGTTTAATGGGACATTTGTGAATCAGAAGCTTGTGGGAAAATTTCGTACATATTTGCTTGATAATGGAGATGTCATAAGTTGCGGACGTTCAGATTTGCATGGTAATTTTTTTAAGCATCGCAAGAATGGACTCGTTGGGCTCTGGTGTGGAGTCCAAAGTTCAAAAAAGTGGGCTAGGCGGTATAGCTGGGGTTTTGCAGCTGCCTTGCTTTGGAGCATTTTAAGGACCTCTCTGCCTTTGGTCAGTATTTTACAGAGTAAATAATGACCCATGTGGAATTTTCTGGTCAACGTTAATTAGGCGTGGTGGGTATATTTGTGTGGTTGTTGAAACGAAATCTGAGGAACAGATGGCGTAGCAGTGGAGAAAAACCAAGAAACGGCTGGCAAGCCACGCCCACAGTGGGCGTGCGTCGAAAGTTAACGATGTCACTGGAAGCTCCCGCAGATGGAGGGACGGTCGCAGTAAGACGTCAGCAGCAGGGCTGACCAGCTGCAAAGCTAGGGGAGGCACTCTGAGTGCGGGTGCGGGGCGTACTTGACGGATGGGGGCGGCGCTTCCCGGTGATACTGAAAATAGCTATAACGTTGGCTACCAAAGAGGCCCGGAGACGGAAAAAAAGTGTAGGCAATGCGGGTTGGCAGAGCAATGGAGGAGGCGACCCTGGCAAAATGGGCCGGGCGTACTTGAGATGGGCGGCCGCTTTCCGCTGGTGTCAACTGAACAATAGCTTGTAAGGCTTGGCTACAAGCAGCTCGGAGACGTGAAAGCTGGATAGGTAGGTTAGCATTGGTCATTGGCACGAGCTAACCATGCACGATAGCCCACCGAAATGGGCGGGGCGTTGCTTCGAAATGGGGCAGTGGCTTTTCATAAAAATCGGCAACTCGGTTTCGCCGAAAATGTTTTTGTAGATCGCAGAAAAGTAACATGTGAAGATGATCATCATGGCAAGAGCCACGGGCATGTTTGCGGCATGCTGAGGCCGGCCCACAGTGGGCGGGGCGTGCATTTGAACACGAGGTACCAGTATAAAAAACCGTAGTTTGGTCCTAAAGCACTACAGATGGCAAAAAAGTGGATTATGGCCCCGACTGATCACATGCAGAATTTGCGCAAAGCAATCTCGGCTTGTGGGCGGAGCGTGCGCGCAGGTGGATCGGAGGGCGTCTTAAAAATCGCGTAAACGAAGGCACTCCAGACACCGGGAAAAATAGTTTAAGATCAGCGAGGGGTCATCGGTTCACAAGTGTGAGGTACACCCGCTGTGGGTGGAGCGTGCACGGGGTGGGGGGGGTCTGAAAAATCCGTAAAACGCTTCCAAAGCACTCCAGACACCGGGAAGAAATAGTTTAAACGAGGGGTCACCGGTTCACAGTTGTGAGGCATACCCGTTGTGGGTGGAACGTGCGTCGAGGTGGGCATGGCCAGCCCTAAGGTTTCTTCAAGCGGTTCCAGAGCACTCCAGGCCTCCTCTGTGATACGGCCCGGCTTTGCGGGAGCGTGGGTCCATCGCGCCTGCCTGCATTCGTATGATCAATGCTCTACTAATACCAGCCTTTTCCTCTAACTCTTCACTTTGATCAACGCTCCTGTTTTTAACCATTTCACTACCATATCAGTGTTGATTAATAGCGCGTTTTGAAAAAAAATGACAAGTAGGCGGAGCCGTGTTCGTATCTCAAAGGAGGCGCGGCCGGCGAGCCGGCTGGTTAAATATAACTCAAGTCTGGTGCCAAGCTCAGTGTTCCCAAGAACACTTTTTCTAATGAACTGACGAACTATACAAATCCCTGCCTTGTGGAGTCTCTGTATGGTCTTTCCTGGAGAGGAAAGTTTGCAATCCAGATTGAGGCACAATTGAAACTCGCGGGGTATTGAAGAGAACCTAAAAGAAGATCCTCACGGAGCACTGCGTGTCAGGGTGGACGGCTGCTTGAAAAGGTCCTCGAGCCATAGCTCGTGCTGGAGATTGTCGAATCAGATGATTCCTGTTTTTGTTCTGTGGCAACGACCCTAGGTAAATAGGTCCTAGAGAGGCGCCGAGCACTGGTTCAGCTTGAATTACTGTCAGTGCCTTTGTGCCACAATCCCTGTTTCCATATTCATGGCGCACCCTGTACAATACGCAATCCCATAGAAGTGATATTGTTGAGAGTTCTTTGCTGGCATCATACCGACAACGTCACACTACGCTGTACAGGGGAGGGGGGGCAAAAAAAAGACTTTTCTTCCTCGACTTTCGAGGCGCTATAAGTTACACTTTATTAAATTCTTATCGGACATTTCTACCACCATATTGAAGAGCATATCAAATACTATCATGATACTCCGCCACAGCCTTCTGGAGGAGCGCCGAGAGATTCTGCCACGCGACCGTCAGTGGGTGCGTGAGTTCAGCGAGATCGTTGATTTCTCCGCCACTGTAGACCACCCTATTGAACTCCGCCCGAACCAGGTAATGAGAGGTTTAGGTCAGGTTACCTGCTTAGATTCCACCTTCTTCAGGTACTCAACGCCCTTCCATTCCAAGTAGGCAAGAGTTTTCCCAACGCCCTTTGATTCCATGTGGTGTCACCCAATCCTGTAGCAGTACAAAGTTTCCAAGAAGGTACGGGCGACGGACATGTGGGAGCTATTCTTCTCGAGTTTGTCGATGTACCGCAGGGCGCTCACGCTTTAGTCGGGGCCCACGAAGAAATTATCGTCATTTCTTTCCATTCCAGGTACGTCCGGTCCCCACCATCAACTGGCGCCTTGGCGACTGAGGTGAAGATGATGTCCTAGACCGTAGCGACGTTGACGGAGCTGCTCGATGATGGAGGTCTTCCAGATCGAGAGTACTGGCTCTCCAGGTAGCTATATTATGGGTGACTCCATACTAAAGTTTCGCAGCTGTTCGGAGGTGACATGAATTCCGAAGGTCTTCTCCAGTCAGGTTGCGGCTGGAGATGACTTCATATTTTGGTGTACATGAAGGTGATGGGCGAGGCCAGCTCCTGCTTATAGAGGAACATCTTGGGTATCTTCCGCCCTGTTACTCGTATCCACAACCTCTGTCTGGGCTGCGAAAAATTTGCTGATATGTGACTCGGTCGAAATGTCTTTTTTTGGAGCCCCCCCTGTATATGGCTGTACTCCATTGGTAAAGAGACCTAACCCTGAAAAATATTTTCAAACACGTTCCTTGAAACAGTTTCAGGAAGTTTTCAAGAAAATAAAGAAGTAATGCAAAAAGGGCTGGGATACTCGGAGACTGAACAAGAAAATCATAAAATCGTGAAAATGTTCCCACTCATTATGGAAGGGTCATATCTGCCACCGGAGCCCTGTACATGTATTAGCTAGAAAAAAGCTTTTGTGACTGCCAGCTACATACTTGTCTAGAAAAGACTGATAGTGAGTGAACGATACTAATTGACCGAGTACGGGCAGAACGCCTAGTGAGGCGCTAGGAGTTGCCCCTAGCGTATTTCGCATCGGATCGCCCGCCTTCGGCGGGCGATCCTCCTTATGCGTGTGAAGTGGGTCCCCGGCCATCCAAACTGAGGGCCAGTCGGATCGCCCGCCTTCGGCGGGCGATCCTCCTTATGCGTGTGAAGTGGGTCCCCGGCCATCCAAACTGAGGGCCAGTCGGATCGCCCGCCTTCGGCGGGCGATCCTCCTTATGCGTGTGAAGTGGGTCCCGGCCATCCAAACTGAGGGCCAGTCGGATCGCCCGCCTTCGGCGGGCGATCCTCCTTATGCGTGTGAAGTGGGTCCCCGGCCATCCAAACTGAGGGCCAGTCGGATCGCCCGCCTTCGGCGGGCGATCCTCCTTATGCGTGTGAAGTGGGTCCCCGGCCATCCAAACTGAGGGCCAGTCGGATCGCCCGCTTTCGCTACAGAAAAATTTTTTTTCGCAATT